CCTACAGAGGCCCCATGAACACACTGCCCTGCAAGACCAAGATGCCATTTCCAAGGGCTCCCAAAGCTGCAAGACCTTTAATGTGACAATATGCCTATGGCTGGACCCATTGTGCATTGGGCTGCAACTCAAGCAGAATCATGTACCTGCAACTCAAGCAGAATCATGTACCTTGTTGAAGGTTGGTTCAATTAGACCCTGGGGACCTAGGGCCAGCAGTTCCAATGTCAATAGCAATCGATTATTTCCTGCCAATGGCACCATCCCAAGGCTAATGCCAGCTATCTCTGAGGCCTTGTCTCTTCCCTGAATTTCACTTCCCCACAAATGATCCCTGAATTTCACTTCCCCACAAATGATCCCTGAATTTCACTTCCCCACAAATGAGTTCAGCTCTTACCTATGGCAACTGGGCCCCTGTCCACACTGTGATGTCCCTGGGATTGGACTTCCATTTCTGCATATTAAGTCTGATGAAGGCAGAAGTTAAGTTACACTTTTGTACAGTGTTCTAGAACTTTCTGTTTAAGGCAAGAACATGAATATTTTTCATACTGAAACCAAATGTGAGGAGTTATAAACAGCTTAGTTTCATCTTTAAGGAATAAATAGTTGCTGAACACTTCAATATGAGTCCTCTCAATATTATCCACCTTGGCAAAGAGCAATTAAAACACGTAGAAACCCTCATGAACATATTCAATTGGCCAATAAATCTTTGGAGGAAAAGCCCATTCTCAAAATTGTATATAATTTAAATCAAAACAACACGATACTCCTATTTTCCTTTCAGAAAACTGATATTTTAAAAGTTTAATAACATCTGATTTTGACCAAGTACATGGAAATGGGAACTCTTATACATAATTGTGGAAATGAAAATAAATAACCATTTTAGAGGACAATTTTGGCTATATCTAAAAAAATGGAAAATTTATTTATCTTATGACCCATTAATCCTCTGCTTTGAGAAGTCAGTCCTACAGAAGCATTAACATCAGGGCATTAAAGATATATGTACATAGATGCCCCCTGTAGCATCATGGCAATTTTAAAAATTGGAAACAGGCTAGATGTTTATCCATGAAGAAATGGGTAAAGCATAACACTGAAACACAGTGGAATACTTTTTTAGCTCTTAAGAATAATATAAAGGACTTAGAAATATGTTCATGCCATTTTGTTTAAGGGGAAAACAAAAGATAGATAAATCTGCATAAAATGATCCCATTTTTGTAATAAACACTGTGCAACTGTATTTGAATATGTAAAAGTTTTTACAAGGGTAGGAATTACTTGGAAAAGATATAAACTAAAATGTTAATTATGGAAGCACTCCAATTTCAACTCCAACATGTAAAGAGTTTGGAAGTCATTACTCCAGCCCTTGCAATAATAAAAAAGCTGAATAAACTGAGAATCAATTACTTTTCTTAGATCCATTGCAGAATTGAAGTCACAGAACAAACCACTGCTCCCCAAACTGGTGAATATTGATCAGCTTATCTGAAGCAGAAAAAACATGACCATCAAAACTGATGTAAAGAACTGGACACAATCAAATACAATTTCATGGCCAAGAACACTCAAAAAACTAGAACTAGAAGGGAAAATCCTCAACATGATAAAAGTCATATGTGAAAAACCATCAGCTAATATTATAATCAGGGAAAAAAGATTAAAAGTTCATTTCTCTAAGATCAGGAACAAGACATGGATGTCCATTTACACTACTTTTTTTTTTAAGATGGAAACAAAATATATTTTATGAATGAGGATTCACTGTTTTTGTTTTCTTTTTCTCAGCTTTAAACCTTTGAATCTCTTTTCCCACCTCTTTCAGGAAAAACATATATGAATGAACGAATGATGTATGTATAAATACATAATAAGTGTCGGGAAATGAGTCCTCTTTCAGGAAAAACAAACAAATGAACAAAAAAGGAGAAAAAAAAATAACCTTTCTTTTGCCTATGGCTATGGCCCATTTCTACCCTACTTTCTAAAAGACTTCACACTTTCATTTCTACTATACGTCTCAAAACCTAATGTTCTGCATTTCCTAATGTCCCTTTCATATTTTGGTTCACTGTGCACCATCCTGCTGAATTTCCACTGCCTAAGATCACCAGTGGTTTCCTAAGCTTTGTCTGACCTCACTTCTTAGTACATCTTTTTTCCCCAAAAAAAACCAAATATTTTTCTCTTTACCGACAACAATTAGTGAAAGAGAAAAAGTACTATTTGAAATAGCTTAAAATGGGAAAAAAATAATTATAGAGGAATTAAGCAAAATGCACTTGCACTACTCCTATTCAACATGGTACTGGAAGTTCAAACCAGATCAATTAGACAATAAAAATAAACAAAAGGCATCCAAATTGGAAAGAAAAAAATAAAACTATCTGTTTTTTCATGTGTGTTCCAATTTCCACACACCTTTCCCAACACTTATTATTTTCTGTTTTTTATATAACCATCCTGATGTATGAAATGGTATCTCACTGTGATTTATTTGCATTTTCCTGGTGACTAATTATGTTGAATGCCTTTTCTTGTGCTTGCTCTTCATTTGTATGCCTTTGGAGAAAAGCCTATTCAAGTCCTTTGCCCACATTTTAATTGAATTGTCTGTTTTATTGTTGTTGAGTTATAGGATTTTTATATATTCTGTGCATCAATAAATTCAGATAAATAATTCAGTAATACATACATAATTCATTCATTCATATATGTGTGTATATATATATGTACAAGCACGCACACATACACACACACACTTATTGAATTTCCTCCAATTCTATAAGTTGTCAATAAAATAAAAAATAGGATATCAACAGAAAAATAAATGAAATTAAAACATGGCTATTTGAACAATATCAATAAAATTGATAAACTGTTGGTCCTGCTAACAAAGAAAAAGAAAAGACACAAATTACTAACAGTCAGTAACATCACCACTGAACCCATGGACATTAAAAGAATAATAAACAAATATTTTGGACAACCCTATGCCCACCGATTTCATAACTGAAATTAAATGAACCAATTCCTTGAAAAACACAAACTACCAAAACCACTAAAAGAAAAATATACAATTTGGGTAGGGCTGTGTCTATTTAAAAAATAGAATCAATAATTAATAAATTTCCAAAAGAGCAACAGGCACATATGGTTTCACTGGTGAATTTAAGAAACAAATGGTAACAATTCTCTATATTCTCTTCCAAAAAATAAAAGCAGGAGGAATGTTTACCAATTCATTCTGAGGTCAGCATTACCCTAATATCAAACCATATGCAGACATTAAAAGAAAGAAAAAGTACAGAAGAGTATCTCTCATAAATATAGATGCAAAAGTCCTCAAAATATAGAATCAAACAAAATCCAAAAATGTGTTAAGAGAATTACACCTATGATCAACTGAGATGTATTCTAGGTATGCAAAGCTCATTCAGAATTTGAAAATCAAGTGGGGTCATCTATCACATTAGCAAACTAAAGAAGAAAAAAACAGATGATCATATCAATAGATGCAGGAAATCATTTAACCAATTTTTTTCTAATCACTCATGATTTTTAAAAAGCCCTCAGCAAACTTGGAATATGTGGGAACTTCCTCAAGTTAATAAAAAAAATTCAAACATTCCTACAACTAACATCATTCTTAATGGTGAGAAACTGGATGCTTTCCTCCTAAGAATGGGAGTGTAGCAAGTATGTCCCTTCTCACTGTTCCTATTCAATATTGAGAAGGAAATAAAAGGACTAAAGATTTAGAAAGAAGAAATGAAAATATCTTTGTTTGTTAATGACATTATTTTTCTCTAGATAAAGTTCTAAAGAATCAATAACAAAAATTAAATTAGTAAGTAACTCCTGGAAATTATCAGTAATTATAGTGAAGCTGCAGGATATATAAGGTTTGTCTACAAAGAGTCCATTACTTTTCTAAATATCAGCAATGAGCAATTGGAATTTGAAAGCAGAAGCACTACTATTTATAATAGCACCAAAAAATGAAATGCTTAGGCATTAATTTAGCAAAACAGGTACAGGATCTACATCCAGAAGACCAAAAAACTTTGTGAAAGAAGTTTAAAAAATATCTTAACAAACAGGAAGATATTCCATGTTCAGGGATAAGAAGACTCAATATTATTAAAGTGGTGGTTCTCTTTAAAATGGGCAAAAAATTTGAACAAACACTTTACCACAGAGGATGCATGAATGACAAAAAAGCCAGTGAAAAGATTCCCGACATCATATGTCATGATACAATTCAAATCAAATAACTCTGAATGTATGTTAAAATTGAATAGTCCAAATGGAGGCACATAATTTCTTCATGACAGTTTAGCGAACATCTTTCCAGTCTAAAAATAAAAAAGTTAACACATTAGTTAATGTAGATTTTATTGATTTGTGCATTTTAGTTGAAAATGTTACACCTGAGGAAATTTACCATAGTGTGGCAAAGTATGAACTTAACAAAATTTAACCTTCTGTGTCTGAAGATTCTGCACCACTATGATTGCTTTCGTTGTCTGACACACCATCCCCAGTGCCACCCATACAAGATGTGCATACCTTTAGAACTCCAGTTCTCTAACAAACCATGCAAGCTAACTTTTGGAAATATATTGCCAGGGCATGTGCACTGAAATTCTAGGCTCATGACTCTCAATACATGAGAAGAATGCTATGCATCCATATGCCACTGGTGAATATATTGCAGCTCTGCCTTTTAAAGAGCATAAGGCACAGAATTATATCTTCAATGATTATGAAATGAAAGATTATAAACATATTTTTGACCTGAAGAAACAGGACGCAGTGATCATACCATGAAGACAGTATGTCTACCGGCAGATGTCATGAGGTACGGTCAACAACTTGTTGTTGTTTTATTTTGTTTTGTGGTGCTAGGGATTGAACCCAGGGCCCTCATGCATGCAAAACAAGCACTCTACCTACTGAGCTATATCCCCAGCCCGCTGTTGTACTTCCCTAACACAACTGGGCTATGGGCCAAATAGCAGGCATTTAATAAGTGAAATTTGAAAAAAAGAAGTACCATTTCTGCTTCACATGTAAAGAGGTGTACATTCAGGTGAGTTCCCTTATAGACATTTTAAATTTATATTTTCCTCTGATTTTATAAACTATGCCAGGGATTCTTAAGCTTTGATGGGCATAGACTTTCTAAGGTTTTGATGGCAGACTAGGAAACTAGGCAGATTTCTGAGCCACCCCCACCCCAGAACCTCTTGAGTCTTTTCATATGGGATTTCCAAAAAACTGCATTCTCTTTTAGAGGTCATCTGTGGACCATTCTTTAATGGAACTCATATATATAATGTCTTTCTTTACCTTTTGCTGAAGGAAGTGGAGGTATTTCTTTGACTACCAGTCTTTCTGTAAGGTCTTTTGTTGTTGTTGTTGTTGTTGTTGTTGTTATTATTATTATTATTATTAGTCATAGTAGTAGTAGTAGTATAATTGAGAGCTGTGTTTCTCAATCCAAATTCTATCACAGGCCAGAAAATTCAGTTCATAGTTGGATCATGGACATGGGGAGGAGGAGGGATGACCATCAAGGAGAGCCAAACCCTTAGAAAGTAACTTGGAAAAGTTTGGGATTTGGTCTTATTCTCCTTTGTAGCCTAGAGCCTTCCAGGTGCAGAACATGATTGTCTCTGAAGTTTTTGAATAAATGAATTACTAACCAACAGAAAAAGAATATGGTTTTGTGGATGCTCAATACCGTCTTTATGAGTGGGTGCTGAAGTTTGCCAGATGTTTTTCTGCATTGATCAAAGAAGATCACCCCAGTTTTGTCTCTGTTCTGTTAATACAATGACTTAAATTGATTAGTATTCAAATATTAAAGCAAACTCACACTTCTAGGATTAAACCCCACTTGGTCATGTTGCATTATCCTTTTAAAACATATTGCTGGATTTTATTTACTAATATTTTGCAAGAATTTATGTGTTTGTGTTCATGAGAATTATTGGTCTACAGTCTTCACTTATTATAATTTTTGAAATGATTTTAGTATCAGGGTTATGTTAATTTCATAAAATAAGATGAAAGGATTTTATCCTCTATTTCAGATGATTGTATAAGATTGATGTTATTTCTTCCTCAATTGTTTGAAAAAAAAAACTTTAGAAAACCATCTCATTCTGGAGTTTTCTTTGTGGTAACTTTTTTATAGTTAATTATATTACTATTATAAAGGCAAGATTATTCAGATTTTCCATATATATCATCTCATGTCAGTTTTGGTACATTGAATTTTTAAAGAAATTTGTCTGTTTTATTTAAATTGTTGAATTTATTAATATAAAATTGATCATAATAGTTCTTTATTATTCTTTTAAAGGTCTGTAAGATCTGTAGCAATAATCCTTCTGTTTAAAAATTTGTATTTGTCCTTGATCAGTCTAGCTAAGTTTTATTAATTTTTAAAATTTGCTTCAATCAACTTTTGTTCATTTTATCTCTTTTTAATTTCTGCTTTTATTTTCATTATTCCTTCTTTCTACTTACTTGGAGCTGAATTTACTCTTTTTTTCTAGCTTCTTAAGTCATTGAGGTCTGATTTTAGATCTTTATTCTTTCTAATATAAACATTTAAAGCCATACATTTCTATTCAAGCCCTGCTTTTGTTCTATCCCATGATTTGACATGTGGTATTTTCATTACTTTCACTTCAAAATATTTTAAATTTTGCCTTTTGATGTCTTCTTTCACTCATAGATTCGTTAGAAGTATATTGTCATATTTCCAGATTGTTGAACCTTTTATAGCTCTCTTATTGCTAATGATTTCTAATTTCTTTCAGACCTTTTATATAACTTCTTTGCTCACATTCTTATCATTCCATTTATTGTGAATATATTTTTCTTTATTTTCTTGAGCACAGTTATAATATATACATTTTGATCTTTATTTACAAATTCCAACGTGTGCCTCATCTCAGAGTCAATTTTTGTCTTTTCTATTGAGTATGGGTCATGGTTTCCTATTTCTTCAGAGGCTGCATATATCATACCCTGAATGTTATGATTGCTATATTGTGGAGACTCTGGATTCCGTTTTATTCTTCTGAAAAGTGTTGATTGATTGTTGATTGAGCAGTCATTACATCAGTAGGTTAAAACTCTTAAGCTCTGCCTCCACTGAGAGTAGTGGCAGTAAGTCTCAATTCAGATCTTTTAGCTCTCACTGGTACATTCCCGGTTCAGAGGTCAGCCAAACATCTGGGCAGAGTACATACACAGAATTCGGGCTCTCATTCTCTAAATTTTCTGTGATTTACCTCCTCACTTTCCAGAACCTGTAGTTGGTCTAAAATTTGGACCCCTGCTTCTTCAAAACAGAAAACATTGTAAGTATTCTACTAGAGTTTAGTTGTCACCCATGATCAGGTCCTGCCCTCAGGCCAAAGCCATAAACCTGGGAATCTTGCTCAGCATCATCCAGTTGTTTTCCTCTTTCAAATGCCTAACCCCCTTCAGTAGTCACTACTTTCATGATTCCTCAGTCCCATCAAGAACTTTTGTACTTGTTAAGCTAGTGAATGAGTAAGTGAGTGGGTTTTTGGTCCAGGACTCACAGTTCTTACTTATAGAAGTATTGGTTACATAGGAGCTTACTCAGCTGTCACCAAAAGCAGAACCCAGTTATATGTTATCTGCTACATGATAAATAATTCAGAACTTAAGAACTTGGTGGAAGTCATCTTACCAACCCATCTGAGATGAATGATTCAGGACCATCATTTCAGAAAAAAAAAAAATGAGTAAGGTAGAGAGTAATGGAAGTTAATTGGATGGACAAGTGGATCCCTGTTATCCAGACCAGCTCAGAATTTCTTTTATTCCGGAGAACTGAGAAAAGAAGTGCGATCTCCACTGAGAATAGAAGTGTGTGATTAATTCTCCTCAGTGACACAGGCAATATGAATCAGCACCCAAGAAGGTCAACTCATCTCTGCTCTGTATTTGTGAGAGATGTAGAAAACACTAAGTTTACAAAACAACTTGGTTTTTTTCCAGTCAATTAAAATAAAGAGGGAGGGAGAAATCTTCTTTCTTGGAAGAGACTATTTAATTTTAAGAAATTCTCAACCACAAAGCTGGAGTGTTGGTGTTAAGAAAACGGATCAGGGTTCCATGGGTCAGGGGAAGATGAGAGTTATGACCACAGATTTGGTGGTCACCTGTATGATATGAAGCATGCTTTCACAAGGCCTCTGTTCAGAGAGACCTCCATTTCCAACCCATCACACAATAGAAAATCCAAGATATTTGTCTAATTTCTGTTTCATTCTACGCTATAAGCTTCTTGTGGATAGAGATTATTTATTACTCATGAGCCTCAGTGTCCTCTCTTTTAAAATAGGGCATAATATGAACAGTTCAGTATAGTGTGAGAGCACAGTGCTTGGAACATAGTAGATGATGGGAACTCTCTTATCCGGCTCAGACAGCTCTTCTATGCCCTCCTTCTCTTTAGGTTCAACAGCTTTATCCACCTGCCTCAATGAAAATTCTAGCCTTTCCCATCACTTTCTCTCCTCAGCCTTCTAGTCTATTTCTAATGCCTCACGAGCATAGAGGATTGAATGAGTTTGACTCAATACAGTTTTCTTATCCATTCTCCTCCTCCATTGCTACTGGACACTTAGGATGTTGTCACTTTCCTACATCTGTATGATGTACTGTCAACCAAACTCTCTAATGATGACACTTTCTGCTTGGAGAGTTAATCCTCTGTGTTAACAAAGATCCAGTCTCTTAGAATCTGAACATTCCTTGTAGTATGGAGATTATTTTACTATGTCTGTGACCTCACTTTCTGTGGCTGTTCTAGAAGACAGTACATTCCCTGAAAGGAATCTTGACATCATGGTTCAGGTACTTTATGAGAGGGAGGAAGAGGAAAGGGGAGGGAGGAAGGCTAGGATGGAAAATGCTCAGTAGATATTCGTTGAATAAATGAAAGAATCACTCTGGGATCATTAGCTTGTTTTGTAGATATGGAAATAAGGCTCAGAAAGCCTTATATAACTTGTCCAAGAGCACAGTAATGGAGCCCAGTTTGATCTCAAGCCTTCTAATCCAGTTCCACTGCTCTTTCTTGATCATCAGCTGGGAGATCCATCTAGCTTAGGGTTGCTCAAGTGCCCATCTGCAAAGAGAAAGGAGGCTGTGACAGATTGTAAATGAATGCACTGCTTCTTTCATTAAGAAATTCTTACTATGGAAAAGAACAATGTTAACCAGATTAACCCATATGCTTAGTGATTATATTCTAGCACAATTCCTAATCTCATTATGAACAATTCACCAATGGCACCTGAGCTCTGGACCCACTTTTTTGTAACATGGGCCCTATTGATCTCTACCCCCTCTACATGGCTTTAAACTCCACATGCCTATCATTTCAGATGCTCTCAGAGTTCCTGCTATATGGTCCAGATGGAGTCCTCAACCATATCTGAGCCTTCAACTACCGATTTTGATTATGATTCTCAGAGCATTCTGTGCGAGAGGAACATGATACTTGACACCTTTGCCACCACCATCTTGTATTGCCTGGTGTTGCTCCTCAGTCTGGTGGGCAACAGCCTGGTGTTGTGGGTCCTGGTGAAGTATGAAAGCCTAGAGTCCCTCACCAACATCTTCATCCTCAACCTGTGCCTCTCAGACCTGATGTTCTCCTGGTTGTTGCCGGTGTGGATCTTAGCCTACCACCAGGGTTGGGTGCTGGGAGATTTCCTCTGCAAGTTTCTCAGCATGATCTTCTCCATCAGCCTGTACAGTAGCATCTTCTTCCTCACCATCATGACCATTCACCGCTATCTGTCTGTGGTGAACCCCATCTCGACCCTGGGTGTCTCTACTCTCCGCTGCCGTGTGCTGATAGTCACAGCTGTGTGGGCAGCCAGCATCCTGTCCTCCATCCCTGAGGCCATCTTCCACGAGGTGATTTCCTTGGAGTGTGATTATTTTGAAACCCAGGGCTTCCTAGCATCTGTCTACCAGCACAACATCTTCTTCTTGATCTCCATGGGGATCGTCCTGTTTTGCAACATACAGATTCTCAGGACCCTGCTCCGCTCAAGGTCCAAACAGCGTCACAGGACGGTGAGGCTCATCTTCACCGTTGTGATGGCATACTTCTTTAGCTGGGCTCCCTACAACCTCCTTCTATTTCTGCAGACACTCTTGAAAATCAACGTCATCCAGAGTTGTGAGGTCATCTTGCGGCTGGATTTCGCCATGATCATCTGCAAAAATTTGGCCTTCTCCCACTGCTGCTTTAACCCGGTGCTCTACGTCTTTGTGGGAGTTAAGTTCCGCAAGCACCTCAAAAATCTCCTCCGGCAGGTCTGGTTGTGCCGGGAGCAGATATCCAGCTCTAGCCCATACCTCCGTTCTCCTGGTGCTTTTACTTATGAGGGCCCCTCCTTCTACTGAGGACAGTTGGATGGTGAGTGTGGAGGTGGACAGGGAAACTGGGAGTAAGAAGAAGGTGACCAGGAAGACTAACAATGGAGATGCCACATACCACTGCAGGGTGGCGAGGAAGAAGGTCATGCCTCCCTCTGTAGGAAAATGGCTTCCCACCTGAACATTTTATATGGTCATTGCACTCTGATTTCATCATTCATTCTTTCACTTAGATATCAATTACTCACTTGGTCAGAATGTTCCAAACCATGAAAGAATTTTAGGAAAGGAGAGCCTCAAGCTCAACGTGTGTGATGATTTTGCAATGCAGGTTGTTGGCAAGACAGTCTCCCCCTTCCTTGGCTATAGGGAAGTCCCAGTTGATTTGTTCACTTTGGAGGGAGCTGGCTTTGTATTTCCCAGTGACTGTCTGCAGGACAAGAGTAACCACATCCTCAAATAAGCACAATCCCAATGAAACCTGGATTCTAAAAACCCAAAACGAGGCTGAAGATAGTTCTGTATCCTGGCTCCAGCTCCTACCACATAAACTGGATCTTCAACATCTAGCTCATGAATACTGAAGGAATAAATATTATATGTGGTGCCTTCTGCACCAAGTATTTAGAAGATACAAAGATGAACAGGGTATATGCTAACCTTCAGGTGCCAGTGACCGAACCCTGGAGTCCCAGATGAGTAAACCCCACATTGGCAAAGGCATGCAGATGGAACATTCCTCCAACATCTTGTCCCTTCCAAGTGGAGGGAAAGATGACTTCACACTGGTCACTTTCCACTCAAAATATCCACTTCCTGCTCGGTTGATGGTACCAGCTTTCTTTCATGGTCCACACTCCAAACCCTGAGTCCTCTTGGAACCCTGCATTTTCTTAAACCCTCACAGCCAGGTCCTATGCATTCTGTCTTCCCAGTGATTCGCAGTGTTGTTCTTGCCATTGCACCCGTGACTTCATCCCTGAAATGGCCTCAATCCTCCTCCTCTTCCTGTTGGTCCTCTCAAAACCTCATTGACTCCTCATGACTTACAAATAAAGTGCAAACACCTTAGCAAGACATTCAAAGCCTCCATAATCTGGTAACCACTCTTCCATTCTTATACCACTCTAAGTCCCCTGCCCCCAAGATGCTTCATATCCAACCACAGAAGCCCACGGGCCTTCTTCCACACACCCTTCTCCTCAGTCTTCTGCCTTTGGAGATGTGTCACACTTTCATCTGGGCCTCGAGTTCATGTCCTTCTCCTCTCTGGCCTCTAAGACCCGGCTCAAAGACCAGCTCCTCCAGGAATCCTTCCCCAGCCTGCAAATCAGAAGGGCACATTCTGGGTTGCTATGGCACTTTCAAGTAGCCCTTTCAAGTAGCATTTGTCCCTCCCCATCTTGTGTTGTAGTTGGGCACATGAATGTCTTCTCTCACTGTCTCATCGGACTAGAGACTGCATGAGGGCAGGAAACTGTTCTTGAGCCCTGGTGTTCTATCACGGAGAGCAAAGAATGACAAGACATAAATCCTTCGGATTTATGCTCTTTGGAGGGCCAGGCCACAGGGCACACTTTACCTTCTTTGCCCCATGTTCCTTCTTGATGAATATTAACCCTCTTTCCTAGGCAAGACTCAGAGCACATTGCTTGTCCCTCTCTTTGCTTTGCCCTCTGTGGCAATGGATATTCCCTAACTTGCCTTCCAGTTAGTGGTCTGCAGGTCTACTTGGGTCCCTTCGCTTCACACATCAAGGCATAGATACAAGTCACTCTCTAAACTTCTATATACCACAAAGACCTGAACCGGATATGGTAACCTGATTCAGCGCTGGAGTGGGTGTTGGGGAAAGATCCTTATATAATTCTGACATGTACCCCAGTTAGGATCATGTGGCTGCAATTGAATGAGGCCTCCGAATTCTTTCACACTCTCTTTTGAGTAGGACTTTTTACCCAGAAGGCACTCTATATATGCTTTTTAAGTAAGTATCTAACATAACCCTCATCTGGAGACTAGAGATTACCAGGCAATTTCCCTTTCAGTCCTAGCTACAATTTTAATGATCTATGTGCTTTGGGGTGGCTAGCTCAGAGGAGACTAGCAGACCTGCCTAGGGAAGAGCAGCAAGGGTCTAGTTTAATAACAATATAGCCAGTAGCACCTGATGGAGAGGATTGTGTGGTGCTGTCACAGTGAAGGGACAAGGTGCTAACTAGCCCCTAGATGAGGTGATCGCTCATCACTGAGGGAAGAAACCACAGATGGAAGGAGATAACAAGATTGTCTGTGGGGGTCAGAGCTAAGCCCTCTTACTGCTCCTGAAACAAACAAATCCACAGTGTTCCCTAAGGGAAGACCTTTTCCCAGAATTTCCTGTTTCACACTCCCCCAGACAGAACCAGGAAGAGACCAGCCTCAATGATCTCTGAAACAGAGCATGTCTCCAAGCCAGGGCAACCTCAAACGGCTCTAGCTAGAGTGAAAACTCCTGGAGGTCACACACTCAGTTTCTAGAAACTTCCTCGGTGACCTGCAATGTTTGTGGTTTGCCAAGTGAAAGGGCAGCAGACCCCCTTTTGGCTTTTTGATCCTTCCATTTCCTCTTTCCACACTTATCTCCCTGATGTCTTCCGGTCAACACCAGGTCTTCTCATGAACATTTTATCTAGGGTCCACCACCTCAAACATCGACTGGTTCATTTGGAACTAAGTTCTGCTGAATGCCGCCGGACTGCTCTCCTTTGTGAAACCTGCCTGAGAAAGGACAAAGAGCCCCACAAGGAAAACTTAGAAGAAATTCCCAAAATAAGCTGCCTGAGAAGACTCATGGCATTTGAACCCTGGACCTAAACCTCAAAGCCAAGCTATTTGCCTTACCCACTGCAACCTTGGAGCCTCAGTTTCCTCACGTGTGAAACTATAGAGAAGCCAACACACAGACTCACCCACACCATGGGGATGTGCATGAGGTCATTCATGTGTGTATAGTGCTTAATTTGCAAACCAGTCTGTCATGGATAAATATGAATTACTATGCAATCATTTCATAAGAACAAAAAGCTTCACTGCTTATATGCACAAGTAAAAGATCACCTTGTGTTCATTTACTTCTGGCTGGTGTCTTAGTTCAAGTCACTGTAGTTGGGTAGCAAACACTGAATCCATAGCCCTGCTATGTCTCCTTTTATCTACCCAAGAGCACTGTGGTTCTTTGGTTGTTGTTCTTTTTAGTAATACATGACAGTACAGTATATTTTTATATATTTATTCAAACATGAAGTACATCTTATAGCATTATGTTTCTTGAAACTTCTCTGCTTATAGAGGGCCTGGGTTGGATTTGGAGCTGGAGCATTAGGTGTGGAACAAGCCCGGTGGGATGAAATGGTGGGGACACTGGCTCCACTTAGCTCTTAAGAGAAATTGTTCAGGTGACTGAGTCTGTCTTGAGTGCATTGGGACTCAATTTCCTGTTCCCATCTCTCCTCTACCTTGACACTGAAGTCTTCTGACTTCAAGTCCAAGCCATTTTTTTCCTGTCTCATGACCCGTTTGTGCCTAAACAAAGACCTTTCAGAGACACAGTCCTATCATGGGAAGAACAGTACTATATCCTACCAGGAATTTCAGCATTCTGAAACTTGTGAATATTCTGAGGGTTGGGAAGAAATTCTAGAAGAGGAAAAGGGGCCTTCCTAGCTCTTGAATGAGTTATTCTGAGTGCAGAGCTCTCTCCACCATGGGCCACATCGGATTTTACATGTGGGGTTGTGGTAACCCATTTTACACCCCCAATGGGCCTCTCTACACAAAGAAGTGTGACCAGAGAAACCAAAAGATAACCCAGGGAACCTGGTTCCTTGACTTTGACCATTTCAGAAAACCAGCCTTGGGCATCACTCAGGGTGAGAGGGAAGAAAGATGTGGGCACTGGAGGGTTTCAGGGATCAGAGAAGTAGGCAGAGTGAGAGAGATGCATGGAGACCTCCAGGCAGTCCCTGGCCACATTTGTGGAGTGTCTGCTCTGTGCAGTACCATAGCCCGGGTTATGGAGAGTGAGATCTCAAAGATGAATCACCCCACTCTCAAGTTGGCTACTTTCAATTATTCCTATTTGAGGAAAGGTTTCCATAGGATTACTCTAGGCTCAAAGGAGTCTCTTTGCCCAAACCACCTTGGTGACCCCTATTGACCTGGCTTGATTGTTCACACACTTGTTCACACACAATGCACACTTGAAACACATTAAGACTCTTCCAAGGCACTTTGCAATGAACAGTGGGAGTTTGGGGAAATACCTGCCCACTTTCACCTGCCCCCTCACCAGTCTGTATCCCAATGTTAAATATAATTTGAGTTCAAAACAAAATTGTGGGTTGCATTTCCATGAGGTTCTTCAGGCGATACAAATCTATAGCTTAGGGCATGTTACGGATTGAATCACATCATCCTCTACCCCCACATTCACACTCAAGTCCTAACCCCCAGTTTCTCTGCATATGACTTTATTTGGAAATAAGGTCATTGCAGATGGAGTTAAGGTAAGATCACTGTGATAGGATGGGCCCCTCATCCAATATGACTGGTGTCCTCACAAAAAGGGGAAAATTGAACCCAGACACCAGAACGAGGTGAATGTCACGTGAAGACCAAAGTTAGGCTTCCACAAGCTGAGAAACACCAAATTGCCAGCAATCTTCCAGAAGCAGGGAAACAATGTCCCCTGTAGCTCCAGAAGGAGGCAACGCATGCCTCCATCTCAGATTGCCAGTCTCCAGAATTCTGAGCCAGTGCACTTCCATTGTTTGAGCCACCCATTCATGGAATCTTGTCATGGCAAGTCCCTAGCAAACTGATACAGAAAACAAATTTCAGTGGGTAGGAGGGAAATCCTATCACATCTCAGAATCTTCCACAAGGTTTCAGTGTCTACCTCGCCTACACAGAAGGCTGCTCTAACTGAAGTCAGGCACAGGAGATCGGAAGCAGACTTTTACAAGACCTGCTATGTACTGGGTCCATACATTTCCACATCTCACAGACACCTGGTGAGGTTTTTGTTTCCTGGGAAGTCACACAGCAGCAACCAGCAATGCATGTTAGATCACATGGAGAGTCTGAAAAAAACATCAGTGCCTGAGTCCCTGCCTCTAAGATTCTTATGCAATTTGTCTGGGGCTGCATGAGTCTTAAAAGCCTTCTGTGTGACTGGCTTGTAAAGCCATGTTTAACAACCACTTTTATAGTTTAGATATTTGGTGTCCCCAAAAGCTCATGTGTGAGGCAATGCAAGAGCATTCAGAGGTGAAATGATTGGGTTATGAACGCCCTGACCTAATCAGTGAATTAATCCCCTGAGTGATAACTGAAAGCCAGTAGGTGTGGCTGGAGGAAGTAGGCATTGAGGGCTTGCCTTTGGAGTATATATTTTGTATCTGGCAAGTGGAGTGTCTCTCTGCTTTCTGATCATCATGTGGGCCCCTTCCCTCTACCACACTCTTCTACCATGATGTTCTGCCTACCTCGAGCCCCAAGGAATGAAGCCAGCAGTCTATGAACTACGACCTCTGAAACTGGGAGCCCCCAAATAAACATTTCCTCCCCTAATTTTTCTTATCAGGTCTTTTGGTCACAACTGTGGAAAAACTGACTAAAACAACCACTCATTTACTATGTACCAGGCACTGTGCTAACTTCCTTACATATATTATGTCAGATTCTTACAACTTTTAAGGTAGGCATTGTTTCCACCACTCCAATGAGAAAAGGGGGCTGGGTAGAAAGAAATGATTTGCTTAAGTTAGTACCTTATTGGAGATTTTCAATTCTGATCCATTTTGGTCCCAGATATATGCTCTTCTAATCACATCCTGCCAACTTCACAAATAAGGGATGTGTCCAACAGGATACAGCTGTATGCAACAGAAATCACCTTTTGTTGCCATGACAGAAAAGCAATGTATGGAAGGGATATTGGGCACGATTGCAATGTAATTGTATCAGAGATATGTCAGGGTACAATGTCCTAGTGTCTGCAATTGCATCACCAAGGATTCAGCAAAAAGAAAAAGAAAAAAATAAATGTTTATAATGTGCATAAAACATGGGGGTGGGGATGAAATACAGAACAAGTGGGAAGCAGAGGTGGGTCCTCCAGAGATGAGGAGGCATTCTGCTGGGTGCTTTTAAAAATGTCCCTTCCAGTGTCACCTGCAGGAATAGTTAACACTGATATTCACAACAGCTTTTTTCTTTGAAGTCCCTGTTTGGTCAAGAGACACTATTTCTTGTTCTACAATGAATGATCACCGCTCTAGTCCTTGATAAACCCATGGCACACTATTATCATGTCATCTACAGCCACTTCTTTTGCAGTGTTTACTTGATCTTCATTGTTACTGTTAGAATCACTTTGATTCAGAACTGTTTTGACAATTTCACCATCAGCCCATGAACGAACAACTGGTGTCTTGTTATTCATGTTAAGACCTTCTTCAATATCTACTTCTGGATTACTAAAGAACTCTGAAGGTACATGTTTGCTTATGTAAGGAAATCAGACATTTTTTTCCCCTCACTTGATATACACAATCTTCCAATTCACTACCTATTCATCATTAGCACTGCACACAATCACACACCAGGGGCTGTCCAGGCACACACAACGGTGTCTTTAGTCACCATGTTCCAAGTATTGGCAACAGCATATATGCCTTCTTTATGCTAAACTTTTGCAAACCTTCCACACCTACACTTCTGTTCATTGTTGCTAACACACTGTTCAAGAAAATGTTTTCACATTTATTCCTCAATGATCCAAGGATACCCTGGTCACATGACTGAGCTAATGAAGTCACATTTGGGGAAAATACATAGCATAAACATTATTAATGAGATTTTGGCTGGAGAATAAGCAGAACAGTTGTAAAGGAATAACAAAATCTTACAGTCATTATCCAGTTCAGCTTCTCTATGATAAGCACAACTCCTGATGTGTGCAATATTTGTGAAACCAATCAGAAGAGATGTCTCTGGTGATCCACACTGCTTTGCTAGTATCATAATGAACTGGTAAGATATGGGCTCCTTTAAAATAGTGAGGGTGTAAGCTTTGGCTATCTCAGCAAGTTTATAGTTATGGGTGCCTCCTGTATTAGCACACCCCAGTGCAGTTCTCCTATCCTCTGCATCCTTAATTCTCATCGGGAGAATTAAAAGACATCATCAGCTATAATCAATGTCTTTCTGGAGCAATAATGTCCAAACAGTAATGCTTTAGTAGAATTATAGACTTGTTCTGGTATCAGATTTTCATGAGTAGTGACCTTAGTAAACTTATCAATAAATTTCTCTACTGCTCCACGATCAACAGTTACCTCTTCCATGAAATTGCAGAACTCTGACTACAGCACCTTTTCTAACTCAGCTGTGGAAGTCACACAACACTTCTACCATTCTCTACTATGGAAGCAGCCACCAGCTACCCAGATCCCAGGTGAGGGGAATTAGATTGTAACCTCTTGATGGGGGAAAGGGGCATGCCAAGGTCATACTGTGAAAACATGTGGGATGGAAAATATTATCACAGTTATCTTTGGAAAATCCAATCTGACACAGTACATTCTCTTCATCCCACTTGCGGTACCCAGTTTCCATTCCAGATGCCTTTCTGACTACCAAATGATCTTGACTCTTAGTAGCTTAAAACAACCATTTGATTTTGGTCACAATTTTGTGGTTTGGGAATAGAAAGAAGTATCTCCAGGGCAGGTTTCATCAAGGATTGCACACACAACTGTGGTCAGGGTTCAGCTGAGGCTGTCCTCATATGATGGCTTGTCCAGGCAGACGTCCATTATGTTGCAATGATGTGATTGGCAGATGAGACATAGGTTGGCTGGAGTTCCACTGGGCTGTTGACATGGCTTCTTCAATGGGAAGTTCCCAGAAGACTGGTCTTCTAACACAGCATCTGGCTCCCTCAGATTCCAGAGAAGCAATTCCAGAGAAGCAGGTGGAGACTGCACTGCCTATGTCCACCCAACCTCAGAAGTCAAATAGCATCACTTTTATTGCACTCTGTAGATTGCAAGTGATTCACTAAAGT